CTTTGTAATTCATTGATGTGAATTTTGTAGTTCATTGATGATATTCCTTTTTTAACCAGCTTTTATAGAGATCTTTCTTAAGTTTGTTATGCCTTTGACTTTCTGTAGTATGGAATATTTATCGAATGCTTTAAAATGAACACTCACGTGTGTTATTACATGTTCTGTGGCTGAGACTCATCATCATGGCTGTTGTGGTGTGCTGTGATTGAGGCATGCTGGCCTCTGACCCACAGCTGACACTTACCTCCATGCTGGGAAGTATATGTGCTGGCTCTTCCTTCCTTCACTCCTTTCAGCATCTGTGCACGGAGCTCAATCCCCACCACCAGTTCTGCCCACTTGTGCACACGCAGGTGGGGCCACCACTGATTTGTGTAATCTGGGAACAATGCTCAGTATGTTATTATTTTGTGACTGTACATGTGTATATGTCTGAATGTGCAAATGTGTAGTCATTTGAAAATTGAAACATAAGATATTTTATTGATATCTCAATTTCTCAGTATGCCTCTTCTAAAAATGGCACACAGACGTAACCATGAAGCCTAGCTGACAGCCGTTGAGTGGACCCTACTCCGAGCAATCTTAAAGGACAGGGTAGCACGTCCCCTGTGGGTTTCTGAGACTGCAACTCTTCACAGCAGTAGAAAGCCCCACCTTTCTCCCGGAACCATGATGCAGTTATGTTAAAATTACTAATTCTCTAACGTCACACAATTGTCATTTCATTTGACCTTCCTAAATTTATTTTATATTCTCCCTCCCCTTTAATTTGAAAACAAAGGTCCATTCGAAGTTCATGCAATGCGATGGGATGTTATTTAGTAAATTTAACCACTTTTTGGTAGACCACCAGATTCTATATTTGTGTAATTATTAACTATTTCCTGGATCCTGAAAGGATTGATTAGATTAAACTTAGACATATTTAGTACAGATGTTGTAGAGATGATATTGTCTACATGAAATCGGCTTTAAAACATTTCCATTAAAGCTCCCTTCTCGGTTTAGCATATAGCACGTGGGATAAAAATGAGTAACAGAGGCTCTCTGCTCCTCCTTGTGCTACAGGCAGCCATCTCTCCCATTCCTGTGCAGCCCCAGCCGCATCCCAGAGACACAATGGTGAAGGTCAGAGTGAACGGATTCAGCTGCATTGGGTGCCTGGTCACCAGGGCTACTTTCCACTCTGGCAAAGTGGATATTGCTGCCATTGATGGCCCCTTCATTGACCTGAACTACATGGTCTACATGTTCCAGTATGATTCCACCCATGACAAGTTCAGTGGCACCAGCAAGGCTGAGAACTGGGAGCTTATCATCAATGGGAAGGCCATCTCCATTTTCCATGAACAAGATCCCACCAACATCAAGTGGGGGCCAAGTATATCATAGAGTCTACTGGTGTCTTCACAACCCTATAGAAGGCTGTGGCTCATTTGAAGGGCGGTGCCAAAAGGGTGATCATCTCTGCCCTTTCTTCCAATGCCCCCATGTTTGTGATGGGCGTGAACCATGAGAAATATGACAACTCCCTCAAGATTGTCAGCGATGCCTCCTGCACCACTAACTGCTTGGCCCCCCTGGCCGAGGTCATCCATGGCAATTTTGGCATCGTGGAGGTACTTATGACCACAGTCCACTCCTGGCATCGTGGAGGGACTTATGACCACAGTCCACTCCATCACTGCCACCCAGAAGACGGTGATGGCCCCTCTGGGAAACACTGGCGTGACGGCCGTGGGGCGGCCCAGAACATCCTCCCCACTCAGTCGTGGATCTCACCTGCCGTCTGGAGAAAGCTGCTAAGGACGATGACATCAAGAAGGTGGTGAAGCAGGTGTCCGATGGTCCCCTAAAGGGCATCCTGGGCTACACTGAGGACCAGGTTGTTTCCTGTGACTTAAGCAGTGACACCATTCTTCCACCTTTGATGCTGGGGCCGGCATTGCCCTCCACGACCACTTTGTCAAGCTCATTTCCTGGTGTGACAATGAATTTGGCCCCAGCAACAGAGTGGTGGACCCCACGGTCCACATGGCCTCCAAGGAGTAAGAGCCCCCCTAGACCACCTGCCCCAGCAACAGCACTAGAGGAAGAGAAGCCCTCAGCTTCTGGGGAGTCTATGCCCCCAACTCATCCCCCAACACACTGAGAATATTCCATCCAGACCCCCTGAAAGAAGGGGAGGGGCTTAGAGAGCCCGACCTTATCATGCACCATCAATAAAGTACATTGTACCCAGAAAAAAAAATTAGTAACAGGATAGAAGAGCTCTGAAACATGGGAAAGAGATATTCCTTAAATATTCGTCATTCTATATAGGAGCAAAAGAAAGCCGCCACCCCCTCACCCCTCCCCAAAAAAGCTGCCTAAGAGTATTGTCCAGCCTCTCCCTACCTGTAAGGTTGATTGTCTCAATGTAGCACACAGTGCTTCGGTGTTGAGACATCACTTTCAGTTGCCACCAACTGTTAAGTTTTACCCTTCAGGAGTATAGCTGTGGAAAATGAGGACTGTCACTCATCGTTTACCCACACAGTATCAATGACAAAAACTGCAGGTTACAGTAAAACCAGTGTCATGTATCTGCTTTGAAAACAATACTTTGTGCATTTTTAACAGAACTCAGAACTGTTTTATTTAGCACAGTGAAACATAACTGCAGGTGAATATAATGTTTCTGGTTAACTTATATTCTGTTTAGCTACTGACCAATGAGGAAATACTTTTTTATTTAAATAACCTACATTAGTAATCTTTCCTGCTTTTGTAAACAGCAATCCATATGCTTAAATGGTGACTTTGGAACATGTGTGTGTGTGTCTATGAGATAAAACTGATGTACAGTAAATTTGATCTTAAGTGAATGTTGACAAGTGTATATACCCCGGTACTTGTGTAACCACTGTCTCAGCTAAGAGTTAGAGCCTTTTCATCAGCTTAGAAAGTTCCCTTGGGTCTACCTCAAATCATTCTGCTCCACCCTCAGACTCAATCCTCCCCCCTCACACGCACACACACAGTCAGCTAGACTGCCAGAGCATAGAGCCAACCTTATTTTCATTACATAAACTGTAGCAGGAAACAATGTGTTAATGGTGCCTTATGTAGGGATTCTGAATAATTATCTCAGGGAAAAAACCGAGAGCTTTGTTTTGTAGTATCTTTAATTATGTGATCCTGAGACATTAAAGTGATAATAAAATAGCCGTAGTGCTTAAGAAGTGCTGGGCACGCTACCAAATGTGGTATTTAATTTATGTAACCTTTAGAGCAGTTCTGGCCAATGAGATCGGATGTGTCATTACATTTATTTTAAAGATGTAGAAACTGAACCATAAGAGACATTAAATCACTTGCCAAAGACACAAACGTTCGTTCGTACTTAAGAACGTGTATAGGCATTCCTCATTTTATTGCATCTTGCAGATATAGCCCCCATCCCACCCATCCCCACCCCCACACTTTAACAAACGGAAGGTTTGTGTCAACCCTGTGTGTCAAGTAAGTCGCTTGGCACCATTTTCCCCGATAGCATGTGCTCACTTCTTGGCTCTCATGATGTGGTCGTTCTCACACTAGTTAGACTTCCTCACATGCCATAGACTATAGTTTCTAGGGTAAAGGTGGCTTTTACCTGCCCTGGGAAACAAAAAAACTCGTGGGACTAGCTTCATTGTGATACTCGCCTTGCTGTGATGCTCTGGGACCAAGCCACGGTATCTTTGAGGTGTGCCCCGATTCTTAACCTTGATGTTGAATTGTTTACCGGTTATATGGTGGGGGTCAGGATGGCCAGAGAACCCTATCCCCGTGTATAATGAATTTTATTACAGTAACAGTTATCTGGGGTTTTTTTGTTCTTTTTCTTTTTTTTTTTTTAATCAATTTATTGGGGGCTCGTACAACTCATCACAATCCATACATACATCAGTGTGTCAAGCACATTTGTACATTTCTTGCCCTCATCATTCTCAAACATTGTCTTTCTACTTGAGCCCTTGGTATCAGCTTCTCATTTTTTCCCTTCCCTCCCCACCCCCTTCCCTCACGAACTCTTGATAATTTATAAAGTATTATTGTTTTGTCATGTCTTACACTGTCCGCCGTCTCCCTTCACCCACTTTTCTCAGTAACAGTTACCTTAACTTGAGCACTCAGCTTCAAAAAGTCAGTTATTGGGCATGCCCCTTTGAAGAGGTGGTGATTCCATTTTTTTTCATGGATAATGGGTTTTTAAAATGGATTTGAATAGGTGTTTTTCAAATGGATAATGGGCTTGAAAAGGTCTTGCTGTAAAGCAGATATCCAAGTGGCCCATCAGCCTCTGAAGAGATGCTTGTCATTTGGAAAGTGCACATCAAAATAAAACTGAGATGCAGGTTCACACTCAGAAGGATGGCTACGATCACAAATACACGATGACAAACACTAGCAGACGTGTGGCCAGTGTTGGAAAGATGTGGGCCGTCCTCAAAGAGATACACCTCCTTGGAGAGTTTCCATGTGGCCCAGCAATCTCACACCCCGGTAAACTTAGCCGAGAGAGATGAAAATGTGCTTGCATACACCAGTGTACAAAAACTCTTCCCGTACATTTCTGTCTCCTCCTATTTTGTTGTAGCTCTTTCCAGGCTTGAGACCAAGTAGAAAATGCTGGAAAGGCTGCAAAGTGTTGTATAACTATGACATTGTTTAGAATTAGATTTGCACTGCCTGGTCTCTTTAGACCAAGAGGTGTAGGAGGTGTTCGCTGAACAATTATTTTTTGGTTGTTTGGAACTGAGCTATTTGAAGCTTAAGGTTTAGTATTAGATTATACTGGGTTGTTGTTTTTTTTTTAATTATTTAACCACTTCCAGGGGACTCCGGGATAAGTTACCTTTCATTTTAGTTGAATCTGTGTTTATGCTATATTAATACAAATGCGTTTATGCTATATTAATACAAATGCAACTGCTTCCTTACAGCCTAGTGTGTTGATCGTAACCTACAAGGAGCCTGCAAAATCGTTTGCTCAGTTTGGATCCTACAAACAAGCTGAATGGAGACCCGATAGTACCACGATCGCTGTGTCAGTAAGTGGATTTTTCAACTTTGATAGAGTTTTCTTGTTAAATCATTGTATTTCATTTAATTTTATTCTCTTTGGTGGACTTCCTTCACTCTCCCACACCCATGAGCATTCACCTTCTGATGATTGTCAGCTTTGTTGAGTCTCCTCCTAAATGTGCTGCCTGTACTCTTCTCCACTTGACCTTCTGTTAATTTTGTTTTTTACATTTTTAGACCTGACCTCCAAGGATGGCCCACAAAAAAAGAGACTTTATATACTTATCTCATGGTAACTCTTACAGTCATTTGGAGTGTGTGTGTGTGTGTGTGTGTGTGTGTGTGTGTGTGTAGAGAGAGAAAAGAGAGATATTTATATCAAGGAAATGGCTCACATGATTGCTGAAGCTGGCAGGCCCAAGTCCATGGGTGAGAAGTCAGGCCGGAGCCTTTTCCTGACTCACTTAGCTATCGGGCGACTAATCCAAAATCAGCAGGCAGTAAAGCAGGCGACTGTCTCAAGTCCAAAGAACCAGAGGTCAGATGATGACCAAGTCAGACGCAGGATTCATGTTGAACAAGAAGCCAGAAAACTTAGCCAGAATATCCATATGTATTAGCCATGCCCCTCAAGGAAACTATTTCAACCGATAGGAAATCTCATCATGGAAGTGATTGCGTTGTATCAGATCACAAAAGGGATGACTACATAATTACATAACTGACAAACCACCAAGAATCATGGCCCAGACGGGTGAACCCACAATGGTCATCAGTTTTGTGAAATTTTGTCAAAAATAGAAGCTAAATATCCTAACTTGCTGTACTATGCTCAGACATAACTGTTTGATGGTCAACCAATGGTAAAGTTTTATTGTGAATATTTTGAACTCAGAGCTGAAACAGACTTTAAAAAGCAAACTACCTTCATGCAACCATTTGCTGAATACTTAGCTTTTGCTGTCAACTTGATAATGTTTCTAAACTAATTCAACTATTAGTACAAGGCAAGATAGCCCTTACATGGGAAAGTGGTAAAGTCCCTGAGATGATAACTAGCCTTTGAATCACAAGTAATGCCAGTGGTGGTGCTGGTTGTGTTTCCATTGCTGTCAAACGTTAAAACAAGATCTTTATTCCCACAGGAAATAGGAAGTGGGTACGTATGTGGAACTCCAACCCCAGCTCTAGTAGCATTTTTCAGATTACAATGCAAGTGTGAAGGAAATTCCCATATTTCAAAATCCCTTGTGTAAGTGAAGAACTTCACATAATACATTACAAGTGATTAAGCTGCAATGTAATGACATGCTATAGCAAATATCAAAAGAAGAATCTAAAGGAATTCTAAATATGTCTTCCAAAGAGTGACTACGTATATTCAATTAGTCATATAATTCTAATTGATAACTAGTATTTGACAGTACCTATGTGAAAAGACATTTTCAAATATATAAAATGTCAGTATAAACCAGCATTACAGGTGAAATTTTCTGTTCAGTTTTGTGAAGGGAACACTAATTTTGAACCCCAATTAAGCACATATATTATCCCCATAAAAAGAGTTCCTTTCTCTGCCCACAACTGCCATCAGGTCTGCCTTATAGCCCTTCTTTAGTTTCTCAGAATCTAAATCTTTATAGAAGGGGCCAGCCTCATTTTTCTCCCACAGTGTGAACCTCTGACCTCGTGGTTACAGCCCTATGTCTAACTCACAATGACACAGACACCTTTATTGTACGCAGTTATCATTGTAATTATATTTAGACTTTCATCACTAAAATTTAGAGAAATTTTATGTTCTTTTCTTCTTATGGGTGTTCTCTTTATTTTTTATGTAAAATTTTTTCCCAACAGTTTTATTGGAAAGTACTTTACATATCATATAATTCAATAGTTCAATCATTCATTCATTTCAAGGAGAATTGTACAATCCACCCCCACATCAATTTTAGAGCATTCCTTCCAACCCACACTTCATGGTTAAATTGCCTTTATGACGAGTTTTGCAGTCATAATCCATTCTAGTTCCCCCAACCCCTTATATTCATTCTTGTCAGTTATCTACCTAGTATCCTTGATTTTGACTCGTGACTCACAAAGCCTAATATATATATATAATATTAGTACACACAGAAAAACTTTGCACATCCTTGTCCCTTATGATAACGTGTAAGCTAAGAAGCCTTCCCTTTAAAATCCTTTAGTCTCTAGAACTTTATTTCTACATTAAACCCTCCTTTGGCCAAACTTTTTCATTATTCTTTTGGAATAGTCATAGAAAAATGACAAAATTTGCTGACTGATTATATATGGAAGATGAATGAACATGAATATTTGGAGATGACTCTACCCTAGTTGAAGTGACTGGGTGGATGCTGGTAGATAATTGGTGGCAGGTATTTGGGGAAAATATAAGAACAGGCTATGAACAAGGTTCGGGATCAGTGGGTTTGTTTCATGTGTGTAGTGGAGATCATGGTTGCAGTGTGGGTGTCGAGAGAGAGACAGCTCCAAGGAAAATGCTCCCCAGATTATGTGTCCTTACTGCTTACCCAGTGTGAGGGACATCTCCTTTGTAGTGGTCTCATAAACCCAGTAAAGGGGGTCTTTTAGCTACATTCTGTTTATACTTCCTTCTCAGCTCTTTTGGACAATCCTGTACACTTAAGCTCTAGTTTGGTAGAGAAATTCTAATTTTTATATGCGATGAAAGTAAGCTATGGTTGCCAATCTTAGAAAAATAATTTACAGTCCTAAATGAAGACCACTGTAAAACCAAAGTGTCTTGAAGTTTAGGTTAAACTGTGTATGTAATATATCCTCTCCAGAGTAGATGTTTAAAACAATTCCTAATTAAGAAGGGGCTACAAAAAGTTTGTGGGGAGATAAAAAACAAAAAGGAAAAAAAAAATTCATGGAAAAAATGGAAAGCTATTGGAATTTTTCCATAAACTTTTTGACACTTCCTTATAGACACACGAGTATATCTAGAAGAAAAAGCATGGATTGTGAGAGATGCAAGATAATGTGCAAAATATTGTACTTTAATGTGGAAAAAATGAATTTCAGATTTTTGCCTTCTTGTTTTAGAAAAATGTTACTTGCTGATTTGAAAAGTTTATGACTGAGTTCAAGTGAGTTATGATGGAAGAATGTAGATCTGTATTGAGCTATTTCACTTTAATTATCCCAGTGATTTCCTTGTGTACTGTATGATAGTTCCTAAAATAATATTTGGTGTTCATTTCCCCCCTAGACTTAATAAATTTACAAGCCTCTTGAATTTGTCTCCAAGTTTTAAAAATCTTTTTAATAACATGTTTCCCTATCCTGAGATTGTTGCCATTTAATCTTCTGGAATGTAAATTCTGTTCTCAGAAAGGATTGTTCTTCATATGTTCATCTGATGAATTTTTCTGTTTAGAAATATTTGTAGCTCTGAAAAGTTCTGAGCTGATTCAATCTCTTCGTTGAATCTCCTTGGTACTTTTTCCTTATTTCCTTTGCACTCTTCTCTCTCTTCTGTGTGGCTCGTCAGTAGAAGCCACGCGGGTGCTTCTACTGTCAGCTGTCATTGAGTTTGAGTTCCTTGAGTAAGTGGGTCTTCTTTGCTGTGTTCGGGTAGGCACCAGTGTATGGTTTTTGTGCAGGTCTCTCTGGCATTGCTAACCAGGTGTTGGCTAACACAGCTGTGTATGGAGGCAGGCCAGTTCACAAACACTTGGTTGTGGCTGAAGCTGAGCCTGAGATTGAGGACGTAAGTAGTGTCTCTTGAGTGGAAAGAGTCTGACACTGAAGAATTTCTGAAACCTTAAAGTCTGGGGGTTTCAACTCACCAGAGCAACCCTTACTCTCAGTCTGCTGAGGTCAGCAGGATTAGGACAGCTTGGCCGTTGTCCATTTGAGGAAGTAGACACTGTCAGTCCTTTAACGACGGGAATAGCAGGGTTCTTCTTCTCCAGCTCAACTATTAGGGAGTTTTCAAATCGTAGGTGTGGGCCCAGTACCTCAAGGAGTAGCAAACTTTCCCTACTGCCTAGTTCTTCATGGGAGAACTCCAGTGGTCTGGAGGCCTATAATAACAGCCTTGGCCAGCACAGTTTCTGGTAGTTGTTCTCCTGAGAAGTGAGGGAGGAGAAGGAGAAGGTAGGGATGCAGGCTCAGACTACCCACCTTCCTAGAATCCAGAAGCTAGTTTTAAGTACTCTATTTTTACCTGTTCAACTTTTTATTTGTATCTACTCACCAATGAGGGTATTTGTTTTTATTTTCATTTTTTCTTGCGATATAAAATATCTGCAAGGCTATTATTTGGCAATCGTTGAGAAAGGTGACTAGTGATCTTGGATCATCTGTTCGATGAGACAGTCTTTGTCTGGACATGGATTCCCCTTTCTCTTGGATAAATACCTAAGAGTGAGATAACAGGATCATCAGGTATATGTATGTTTAACTTTTTAAGAAATCATTAGAGCAAATTGTGTTGATGTGTGTGTGTACACACACACAACTCTTGTTAAAAGAGATTTAACTATGTAAGTGTATGATATGTGACTATTATATCAAGAAAACTACTTTAAAAAAAAGAAACCAAATTTGACCTATGGTGACTATGGGTGAAGGAGGGTAGGGTTTTTTGCTTCGGAGGCATTGAGTTTATGTTAATAATGGTGGAATCACTTGGAAAAGGATATCAATAATGGCTATACAACACAAAGAGTATAATCATTGACACTGAATTATACATATAGAAGTTGTTGAATTGGATAATGTTTGTTGTATATATTTTTGGCACAATTAAAAAATAATTGCATGAATAATAATAAGTACAAGGAAGAAGAAAATGCTAAAATTGGTTGTAAAGATTATTGTATTAGTCTAGGTACTTTGGAGAAACAAATCCACAGCGACTCATGGATAAGAGAGAGTTTTATACAAAGAAAATGTGCATCACGAAAACATCTCAACCCAATGCTGCCCAAGCCCACAAGTCCAACATTAACCCATTAATCCAACACCAGTC